CACCTTTCACCCTAGCAAGGCTGACTAACGCCAGCCACGCTTGGCCATTCCTTGCCACATTGCAATAAGAGCGAAATTACCTCCGCTGGTGAACGGTTATTCACCACTTCAGGGACCTTGGCTCATAACGGAGCAAGGGTATTCTCATTGGCGCTCGACGAAAGTCTAGTTCGCGGGTAAACCAGTACATACAGACAACAATGTCTGGTGTTAAGAAACAAAATCCGAAAGAGAAAGAGAAAGAGACAGAGACAACAAAATTTCTTGCCCCTGAGGCCGCGCGTGCGGACGGGTTCACCCCGGCTCACACCCCGAGCCAGAAAAAAAGGGACAAGGGACTAATATGTATTTAGGACAAGCTGCAACAGCAGTTACAACCTTCAACGTTGTCTCCAGGTCAAGTATAGCAGAGCAAGTCCCGCGGAACTAACGACAGATCATCGTGCACTCAAGAGACGATTCAGCAACAGATTGATTTTAGGAGGGCCTACACGACACGTACACGTACACGACTGCTGTAGTGTCGGCGCCGTGGTGCCCGCGGGCAAAGGAGCCTCGATCCTCGGGCGGATCCAAAACGATGACCTCCGCAACTGCGTTTACAGCAGTAGTATACGGTCTTACCTCGTCCATTGACAAGCCGCCAGCAGCGACCTCCGGACTGCCGGTAGTGGTGCGCTCACCGCCCTCGTCGTCCGCGGTGGCAGCAGCCTCCGGGTTACCACTAGATCTCGTGCAGTCCATGCCAACGGCCGCAACGTGCGTCGAAGCGCTCTTGGGAACGTGCGCAGCGCTCTCGACGACGTGCGCAGCGCTCTCGGCAACAACCTCCATACTGAGAGTGCCTCGGGGTTGTTATACAGCGGTTTCAGCGTGCAGACAGAGGCTGTGCGTGCTACAGGGTAGCAGGGTGGTCTGTGCCATCGCTCTCCGCTCTCGGCTTCAGTGCTTCAGTTTGAAATCTGGTTCTGTAGAGTCGTTTCTGGAGGCGCTGGTTCTGTAGAGTCGTTTCTGGAGGCGTTTTTTGTTGTGGCAGGAGTTTCTTTCCTGCCATCTATGGCAGATTCCCGGGCGCCGTTGTGACGTTGTGACCTGGGCTGCGGGAGGTCCCCGGAAACCAAAACGCGGTACAACACTTCAGCAGCAGCAAGAAACAAACAGCCTGCCACCACAATAGCCACTGGTGCCNGTAGAGTCGTTTCTGGAGGCGTTTTTTGTTGTGGCAGGAGTTTCTTTCCTGCCATCTATGGCAGATTCCCGGGCGCCGTTGTGACGTTGTGACCTGGGCTGCGGGAGGTCCCCGGAAACCAAAACGCGGTACAACACTTCAGCAGCAGCAAGAAACAAACAGCCTGCCACCACAATAGCCACTGGTGCCAGCCTGCTCGCCTGCATGGCCATAACTACTGGTGTCATGCACCACAACCGCTTACTACGTCACCTCTACCATGGACGGATTGAAGGACCCACGCACTTCCGACAGCCAACATGGTGTACAGCTTGCTTACAGCAGTAGCACCACCTGTCTGTCCAAATGTCAACCCTTTCTAATCGTTTACAATGTCCATGTCATGGATAGGTATAACCACACATCATAGATAGGTGCACACATAATCTAGCACCGGCGACAGTTACGGTTGACGTAGGGGAGTTAAGTAAGTTGCGCACGCCACTCTGTGGGATGAAAGACAGACTGGAGTTCTCCTGTATGTACAACGGTTCTGGTGGGGCAAGGCGTATCGAGGAGGAGCATGCACTTGCTGAGCGTTCGAACGATACAAAATCCTCTTGTCCCATGGAGCCAAGTATCTACGAGCGAAGAAAGCCACACCTGTCAACAAAGCGATTTCCTCGAGAGGGGGAAACATATCACATTGCCTGCGCATGAACTCCCGTTGAGTACATGCAGGTCTGTCCGCACTGGGACCGACACTGCACCATGCCCGAAATACCGTTAAGTGCCTTCAAGCGAAGCGAGTCAACCCGCACTGGGACCGCACGCTGCAACACGCCCGAAATACCGTAAGTGTCTTCGAGCGAAGCGAGTTACGATGCCACACTCGCAGTCACTCCACACCGATTACATCAACAACAAACCAAACCACTCTACGCCTTTACACACTGCACCCCGCCCGAAATCCCGTTAAGTGCCAAGCGAGTCGACCGCACTGGGGCCTCACGCTGCAACACGCCCGAGATCCCCCGTTAAGTGCCTCCGAGCGAAGCGAATCCACCCGCACTGTGATCGCACACTGCACCAGGCCTGAAATACCGTAAGTGCCTTCGAGCGAAGCGAGTCGACCCGCACTGGGACCGCACACTGCACAAAGCCCGAAATACCGTCAAGAGCCTTCGAGCGAAGCGAATCGACCCGCAACCGGACCGCACACTGCACCACCCCCGAAATACCGTGAAGTGCCTTCGAGCGAAGCGAGTTACGATGCCACACTCGCATTCACTCCACACCCATTATATCAACAACACACCAAACCAGTCGATGCCTTTTTCTGCAAAAACAACCAATCAAAAAAACCTAAGGGGAAACCCGGCCACCGGGTCAAAACCCCTTCCTCCCAAGGATGGTACTACGAAAAAGCAAGATAAAGACGCAAACAGGATAACTCCGACAACGTAATCGATCCGAGTAACCTTCCCGCCACGCAATATCACCTTCTTCCTAGTACCCAACAAAGTCCAAAAAGTCTGCAGCCACTGCCACGATTTTACTCCCACAAAGCCCAAACAAAAGTCCGTTGCAATTTACTCCTACTGCCCTCCCCGCTCGACGAACAACCATCGATGATCTGATTACCTAACCTCCTCCCTCCCCCTTGATTCCGGCGCTTCGCGGCACCCCCGGGGTTGATGGTGTATGCTATCGTCCTCGGACAGCTGTTTCGTCAAACACATCAAGCATGAAAAGCCTTCTTGCATACAACTCTTACTCTCAGAAGTTCAAAAGTTCAGCCTGCTTACACGTAACCTCTTCGACTCTCAGAAAAAATCAAGCTCCAATTCTCAACCGCCACACAGCACGCGTCGATATGTCTGCTCTCCCTCACTCGAAGAAAATTGCGGTCCATCATCTCGTGCGATAACCTCCCTCGCTCTTTCGTCTGTGTGAAGGACGGTCGTCTACCTCTCGTGAAGTTAATACATCACCAAAACAGTCTCACCCGATAAATATGTGGCGTAGGCCGTAAACACTCTAGAGTTTCCTTCGAAGGAGCCCCTCTGCATCTTGCTACCATGGCTGACTACGGTACCTCCAATCGTCGTCGCCAACCCTGACGCCGAACGCCTATCCTCCGTGTCGGCGTAGCTAGCACCTACGTACACGGCCAGCCCTAACCCCGATCCCCGTTGGTAGGTGATGCCGNTAAACACTCTAGAGTTTCCTTCGAAGGAGCCCCTCTGCATCTTGCTACCATGGCTGACTACGGTACCTCCAATCGTCGTCGCCAACCCTGACGCCGAACGCCTATCCTCCGTGTCGGCGTAGCTAGCACCTACGTACACGGCCAGCCCTAACCCCGATCCCCGTTGGTAGGTGATGCCGAGGTCCCTCGTCTCCTTTAAGTAGCCGAGGATCTTCTGGATGGCATCCCAGTGCCTCTTCGCCGGGGCGTGGGCGTGGCGCGCTACCGCACGCACGGCGAACGAGACGTCTGGACGCGAGAAAGTCGACACCCACATCATGCTGCCGATGGCCTCCCTCACCGGCCACTCCCCTCCCTCCTCATCCTCTCGCTTCGGCCCTATGAGGGATTCACTTAGGTCGTGGGACACCAGAGCCGTCTCGAAAAGTACGTTGATCGCTGGAAAAGTACTCGCTCCGGGAGAACTGGAGGATTGCTGTCATGGTGATTCTGGTGAACATGAAATTGCCGCAGAGGAGCAATTGGCGACCCTGGTGGAGGAGTCGGTGAAGAAGAAGGAGCCTGGCAGCGTCGTGGCGGATGCAGCCAGTAGGGGTGGCTGGGTTGCTGCCCCCAGAGGCCAACGAGAAGAGCCCACGCTGCCGCTCGGCGGTGGCGGGGGATTTCTCCAGCAGCA